GAAGGACTCAAGCTTTGATGATAGATGGAGTAGAGAACATTAGAATAAGCAGGGACAGGAATCCCCTCTTAGGGTTCATTTGGAGTGTGTGAGAATGATATATACAATATCTTAGATGTTAGTTTCATTCTATAGTCTCATCCTTGCTTCGTTATGCTTCCCCACAGCTTTAGAATAGAGGCCTAGAGACAATGAGTCTTTGTTTTACAGAACATTCGTTCAGAGAGCTCCTAGCAGAGTCTGGTACAGAGAGGAGGGTGAGGAACTGTTGCTGCCAAAGGGACTATCAGAAACTGTACATGACTTTGTGTGTGGAATTTACTTCCCCTTCCCTAGAGATTTTGGAAAGCAATGAATAAATAAAGAATGGCTCTGAACAACCAATTCAAGTAAAGAAAGAGGAAATGTCATGTCTTAGAAGTTTAATTTATCAACAACAGTCTTAAATGGAAAAGAACATATATCACAACCTTGGGAAAATCCCTCTTTTATTTTTTTCTGATCTGTAATATTGCAGATTAGGAAAAGAGCTTAAGGCATTTGATCCCTTTTGCTGAAAAACACTCCCATTGGAGTGGGACTGACAACTTATATTTCCCATTTGGTGTAAACATAGACTTTGCTGCACTGTAATATCTAATCTTCAGATACGTTAACTTTAAAATGAAGCTAATATTTATCTTAAAATTATTGAGGATAAAACAAAATAATTTCTATTTAGGGTACTATATAATGTGCTTAATAAGTGATAATTGTCTTACATTGGGGACCCCCAAATTTGACCCTGAGTCAGGAAAGGTGTTATGGGTTGAACTGTGTACTACTCCAAAAGATGTTAAAATCCTAATCCCCAATACCTATGAATGTGACCTTATTTGGAAATAGGGCCTTTGCAGATATGATTAAGTTGAGACAAGGTCATCAGAGTGGGCCCTCTAATCCAATATAAATACTGTCCTTCCATAAGGGAAAGATGGCCATGTGAAGACACAGAGATACAGGGAGAATGCTATGTAGAGATTGATGCAGAGATTGGAGTGATGCATCTACAAGCTAAAGAGTGCCAACAATTGCCAGCCATTACCAGCAGCTAGGAGAGAAACATGGAACAGATTCTCCCTCAGAGCCTTAAAAAGGAATCAATTTTTCCCACATCTTTATTTCTAACTTCTAACCTCCAGAACTGTGAGAGAATAAATTTCTGTTGTTAAAATTTGTGGTACATTGTTATGGCAGCCTCAGGAAACTAATACACAAAGATCTGAGTGTAAGAGGTTTGTTTTGAAGGCGAGTCCAGGAATTACTGATAGCAGGATGGAGAAGTGAGCCATGGAAGAGAAAGACAGTAATAGAATAGACTGATGAGTAAGTTACCTCTCCAGGTGGGGCTCAATCCTTTTGTGAACCTTTCAGAGATAAGGCAGAATGTACCTCAGAGTTGTCCTATCTCTGAGGAGTGAGGACATTGGTATATTTATTAGTACAAATATTTGGGTATTAGTTTTCTATGGCTGCTCTAACAAATTGCCACAAAGTTGGTGGCTGAAAACAACAGTTTATTTCCTCACAGATCTAGAGGCCAGAAATCCAAAATCATTATCACAAGAATCATGTTGTCAGTATGGCCTCCCTCTTTCCAGAGACTCTAGGGGAGAATCTGTTCCTAGCCTCTTCCCCATTCTGATGGCTACCGGCATTTCTTGATTTTTGGCTACATCAACACAGTCTCTACTTTTTAAATCACACCGTCTCTTCCTCTTCTGCCTATGTGAAATCTCCCTCTTCCTAGCTCTTATAAGGACACATGTGATTGCGTTTAGGGGTCACCTGGATAGTCCAGGATAATCTCCCCAACTCAAGATTCTTAATTACACCTTTGGCCATATGAAATAATGTTCACAGGTTTCAGGGATCAGAACCTGAAAACTTTGGAGGACATTTTTCAGTCTACCAAAATTGGTATATTTATCCTTCAACTTCCATTTTTAATATGTTAAAGGCTGCTCTCAGGGTGAAAATTCCTTGGTACTTCTGGCCTGTCTTGCAGGAGTTGAGAAAAAGCCCTCAGGTGAAAAGTTGCAAGCACTTGTAGAGGACTTTTTTTGGGCATTTATGGGATGGGAAGTCCTGAGAGGATGCCAATGGGACACCAATAACATCTGCTATATTATTATTATTATTGTTGTTGTTGTTGTTATTAGTTTGGATTTTTGTTAATTAATTTTAATTTAATAATTAATAATTAGTTATAATATTATTAGCTATTTTAACCTAATTTCATGATGGACCACAGTATGCATTATTTGTACTACCTGTGTGACATTGCTTAGAAAATATTATCCCACTTATTTGAACTTGATCTTTTCTTCAGGGGTAATTTTAAGCATACATTACTCTGTCATTTCCTCCAAAGTATCTTTCCTTCCTTCCTTCCTTCCTTCCTTCCTTCCTTCCTTCCTTCCTTCCTTCCTCCCTTCCTTCCTCTCTTTCTTTCTTTCTTTTTAGCACCTATGCAATCTCTTTTACTACTTTCTATTTGGTCATACATAATTATCTTTCTCAACTCCATATTTTTTTCTCAACTATGTTTTAACTATGTTTGAAGCATTTACTCTGAGTCTGTTATGCACTTTTAGTTTCTCCAAGACCCCTAGTTACAACATATAAATTACCTTATGGGACTGGGACATCAGAAGCCTTGTGGTACCATGTCCATTTAGTGACAGTTTCAAACCAGTTTATCTTTAGAAAATGGGAGAATTGTAAGACATGAGTGACCAATAAAGCTCTGGCTTGTTTCCAAAGATCTGTGGAATGTGGAAATTCTAGTCATGGGTAAATGAATGAAATAGGAAATGTTGGAAGAGGCGCAAGTGAAAAAAAAAAGTTTGTTTTTAAACATGGTGAACTGAAGTCCGTGGTTACCATGTGGAGATGTCCGGGAGGCAGGTGTGGCTATAAGACTAAAGCTTGAGGGAGAGGTATGGACAGGACAAAAAATTGGGGAACTGCTTCGCAATAGGTAGGTAGATGAAATCATACTGGAAGAGAAAGAAGAATGAGAATTAGAAAAGTGGGCCAAGAGTAGAACACTGAGTCTACGGCCATGTCACCCTGAACGTGTCTGATCTCGTCTGATCTCGGAAGCTAAGCAGTGTAGGGCCTGGTTAGTTCTTGGATGGGAGACCACCTAGGAATACCAGGTGCTGTAGGCATAAAAAGAGAGAAAGAAAAAAAAAGAGTAGAACACCGAGAGTCAACAAACATTAGACAAGAGAAAAAAAGAATGGAGGTAGGAGAACCTGGGGAAGAGGCTGTTAGGAGAGCCAAAGGAGTTGAAATTCTAATGTGAGAAAGAAGAAATGCAGTGGAGAGATCTAGCGAGGTTAAAAAAAAAAGGAAATGATGTAATTCAGTGCATACTTAGAAAAAATTCTCAACTTGGAGGTTCGTGATGACCTTAATGAGAGCAGTTTCAGTGGGACGTTACAGGCAGAGCCAGCTGGGTTAACAGACCTTTCAAAAGGGCTCACAGAAATCTGCGTGAAATTAGTCAGGGTAGTGCAGTGACTCCTCTCAGCCCAAGTGTCCAGGAAAGCTTTGGAGGATCCAAGAGAATCTAGAGCCCAAATGGAGCTTAGCAGTGGATTGACTGGATGGGCAATGACACAAAGCTGAGAAATCTGCAAGATTAAATTAGTAAACTTTCATTTTTTTAAAGTTTGCATTCAAATAATAGATTGCTCAAGTTCAAGATGGAAGAGATTTTGTTTGGCAACAATTGTTTAAAAATGATCCAAAGACTTTAGTTGGTTATAAACTTAAAATGGGCCAAGAGTATGACTTAATTCTCCAAAAAGCTAGCATAGCTTGGGCTGTGATAATACTGAAAAGTAAGTGGAGACACCAGGAGAATACTAATTTTTTTGAAAGTAAGGACAAGGGAAGGAAGAAAATAAAAACAGCAACTGAAAGGAGATTGGCTCATTAGAAAAAAATGAAGGATGGAAGAAATTTGAATGTTTATTGTCCAAGAGGAAGGATCCATTAGGGAGGGAGACAAAGGAGAAAAGGGATAATTAGTGATACGGGAGTCTGATGAAGCTGGGAGATGTTGGTTTTGATTTGAAGTGCAGAAGCCTCACTCTTAAGGAAACTGGAGGAAAGGCTGAAAGGATGGAAGTGACCACGGATAAGTTGCTGTTTGGGAAAGAATTCAAACACTTGGGAAGAGCACGGGCAAAAGTTTTCAGTTTGCTTGATGAAGTAATACTCTAGTGGGACCGCCTATGCCGTTTCTGAGAGTATGTAGAGGGA